GGAGCCTCACTCTGTCGCCCATACTGGATGGTGCAGTGGTCGCTCCCGGCCACCGCAGCCTCAACCTGCTCCAGCGATCCTTCTGCCTCAGCCTTCCAAGTAGCTGGAACTACAGGCACACGCTACCACTCCCGGCTAGTGTTTTTGATTTATTGAAGAGATGAGGTCTCACCAAGTTGCCCAGGCGGGTCTCGAACCCGTGGGCTCAGGCAATCCACTCATGTCAGCCTCCCAAGGCGCGGGATTACAGGCCGAGCCACCGAACCTGGCTATCTAAGCCATTTTCTAAGGAAACCCTAACCCCCCATGTCCAGGAGGACTTGGGCGGTGTGGAAACCCTGGCAGTGTGAGCTAATCTCCCTCTCCACCACTGTCCTCAGGTACTCTGTGGATATCCCCTTGGACAAAACCGTTGTCAACAAGGATGTCTTCAGAGACCCTGCTCTTAAACGCAAGGCCCGACGTGAAGCCAAGGTCAAGTTCGAAGAGAGGTAAGTAGGTTTTGTTAGTTTGGATATTGGGGTACAATTTCACTCTTCCCAGTAAAAAGAGCTTTGTCTTTTCCTCTCCTCATTGGTGTCCTTTTTCTTCTCTTCTAGGTACAAGACGGGCAAGAACAAGTGGTTCTTCCAGAAGCTGCGGTTTTAGATGTTTTTTGTTTCCGTCATTAAAAATTTTTTAAATCCCTGTCGGTCTGCTGTGTATATTACCAGACTGGGAAAAGGAGAACATTAGAGACACTGGATGGATAAGGGACTGAGAAAATATAAAATAAACATTAAATCTGATTTTGTGAGATTTCCACTAGTTCTATCCTTGACCTGGTAATCCCTGTGCAAAATTGTTGAGCCTCGCTGGTTCCTACCCATTACATTCCAGGAGAATCCAAGCCACACCCTTGCCCCGCCCTTGTGACAACCAAAAGTAGGGACCAGGTACTTTGAACTGAGAACCTGAGGTTCTCAAACCTTAGAACAGAGATCACTTGAGTGGTTTGTTAGCCCACAGATTGCAAAGTCCTGCCCTCAGACTGATTTAGTGGGTGTGAGAAGGCATGTCTAGTCAGTTTTGAGGGACCACCCTAAAGAGCTGCTCTGAGTGAGAGACATGGAGGCCTAAGCAGCTGTACAGTGGTACCAGGGGGCACTCCCACGCTGGGCCTACCCTGCATAGACTGATGAGAGCCAAGGGGCCTGGGCACTGGGTTCTGCCCCTGTGAGGAAAAAGCCATTTGGTTCTGGGTCAGGTATTTACCTCTCGATGGATTGTAACTGCAACCCTGTTTTACTGATGAAGTTGCCTCCAGCTGAAGCTGTTGTCTAGTTCAAACAGGCCAGTTTGCCAAGTCTTATCACTTGGCTCCACACTGCCACCTGAGAGGTGTGGGGGAAGGGGCTGAGAAGAGGCAGGTAAATTACGTGACTGTGGAAAAAACCCTCACCAGGTGTGGCAGCTCATGCCTGTGATCCCAGCACTTCAGAAGGCAGAGGCGAGAGGATTACCTGATCCCAGGGGTTTGAGACCAGCCTGAGCAATTTGGTGAGACGTCGTCTCTACAGTAAATAAAAAAATTAGCTGGGTGTGGCGGCACGCTCCTGTAGTTCAGCTACTGGAAGGCAGAGGTGGAAGGATTGCCTGAGCCCAGCAGGTTGAGGTTGAGGTGACCGTGAGCTTGCCACTGCACTCCCGCCTGGGTGATGAGTGCAACTCCAACTCAAAAAAACCCCCAAAATCAAAAACCTGGGATAGGTGGAAGTTAGGACACAAATGCACCACATGCTATGCTTCATGTGCTTTGACTAGAATCTGCTCACCCGTAAGTACTAAGGCATCACCAGGAGCCTCCAGTTAAGCAGCTGGCCTGCGCAGGGACACGTGCAATTGAATTTAAACCCTTCTTTAGGCCGGGCTCGGTGGCTCAGCCTGTAATCCCAGCACTTTGGGAGGCCGAGGTGAGTGGATTGCCTGAGCCTGCGGGTTCGAGACCTCATCTCTACAATAAATCAAAAATTAGCCGGGCTTGGTAGCGCGTGCCTGTAATTCCCGCTACTTGGAAGGCTGAGGCGGAAGGATCGCCGGAGCCCAGCAGGTCGAGGCTGCGGTGGCCGGGAGCGGCCATTGTACACCAGTCTGGGTGACA